GAAAAATAGATATTTCATTGGTAATTATATGATAAAGATTATTATTATTATTATTATTATTCATTATTATTATTAAAAATCAACATGTAAATTGAGCGTTGCGTGCATCAACATTYAATGTAGTGGTAGTGCGTGTAAGCGAAAAGTGTTCCCAATGAGTGCGAAAAGCGCTAGAACGACTAGACACTTAGATAAAAGTGATTTATTTAATTGACTTTCTATATTTAGCTCATTTCTCGATGTTTTTCGAGGACCCATTTTTCATCCATCAAGATTAACTCCGAACTCTTTTCTGCCACCTACGCTAGCATTAGCGCCATGCAGATTGTCAATTGATATAACATTAAAAATTTCATAAATCGATGTTAAATACTAATTTTTTTACTGACTCATTTTAATATTTTCACAATTTGTGAATTTTTTCATTTTCAGTTGGTGTGAATTTTTTCATTTTCAGGTGGTCACCAAGGAAGGATGTGTATGAGGAGATAAAACTAGAGGAAGTTGCATGACGAAATTCAATTTCGTGAGAATCGAAAAAGTTTCAAGCTAAAGTCACGAAAACCCCGCACATAAAAGACTAAACATAGTAGACGACTAGAAAACGTGATGTTTTCGAATCTAAGTTATGAAATGCTATATTTAATACTGATGATGATAATGGCAATAGGAAACAAGCGGTGCAGGTGTTATTTCTTCACACGTTCTTAATTCGGGCTGAATTAGCTCGCGCGCTGACTGTCGAAAAAAATTGCTGTCCCTGAAAACCAAAAGAGATAGTAATGTCCGAAATGTTGTTTAATGTTTAAACAGGGTGTCCTTAGCCGATTAAGGACCTTACCAAACGAGAAAACAAGTTTCCAGAAACGTGTGTTGTAAAAAATAAAATCGGGAAACATTGTTTCCATGAATGGCCTGGTATGAAATATTTCTGCCGTACTGCAGAAACATATTCATTTTGTCTATCGGGAAGCAAAATTTGTTGCTCGTGAGATGTTTCGTATGTGGCTAAATTGGGAAACATCAAGAAAACATTTTTTTGCGGTAAATATTTTACCTTGTTTTGCCAAGGCTTATATAGCTGTCGGTTTATTTGTTAGTGAATACAAAGAAAGGAATCTGTCGATAGTGTGCGTATTCGTAGAAGCTGGTGTCCGTTTTAAATGGTTGTCTGTTGTATATAAGCTAGCTTTAGACTGATCAGTTATATATTCTAAGCTAAGTTACAGTTATTAATAAGAAGAGGTAACTAGCTAAAAACTAGTGTCAGCTGCTTCGGTGTTTCAAAGGTTCTCATTAATTGGTTTCTTTTGTCTTGTTCTCAGTATATAACACTCCTTTCTACCACCTCTTTCCCTTTTACTCCGACGAAGGATTAGCGTCCGAAACGTCAGTAGCTTTTTTCATCTTTTCACGGTGTAAAATTTACCCTTTTATCATTACAGTTATTAATGGCTATTTCAGTATATTATTAACTTTATTTAACCGCCCTAACATATATTCAACAAAGCTGATTTCCAAAATGGGAGTGCATCTTAAAATCTTATTTAAGATATAATACAAATAGAATAATATGACAAACTAGCTACATAAAATTCATGTAAGACCAAGGAACAAGAGTTTGCTGAATTCGAAGAATGAGACCAGGAACTCACTTTTAGTTGCGTACACCAGTAGGTAAAGAATTTCGTAATAGGACGTTTGCATGAAGTGGCAACATTTGACTCAGTCCCACTACCAAGATGCTTCGCGAATTTTCTTTCTATTTAAATTTGTATTCCGTCATGAGAATAGTAAGACAATTGGTGCTAATTAACTGAACAAAAGAGAGTGTGTATGGGAGTCTGGTAGTAGAGGTCAATGACGCCAAACGTCCAATTGGTGTTTCTGTTTATTGGTTTGTGTTGTTGAGGTTTTTCGCGCTTACTGTTATCGTCGGTTATCGYTTTGCGGTGTTGTCAGTAGGCAGATTAAGATTCCCGTCTTTCCTTCACGCAAACGGCAAACGTGACCACGTTTTTATCGTTTCCCTACATTTCACTTTACCATTTGCAAACCTTCTCGACAAAGACAAGTATTCTTTTGTTTATCTACTACTTGGAGATTTTTGCGATTCCTTTTCACTAATTTTTAAGAATTTTTTAATGGTCAAGTGACGTTTCACGTTTGCCGTAAACGAGGATCTTAAACTCTCTAGTTACTTCTGTCGTGGCCGCAGCTATACTAGTAACATTCACAATGGGAAAATATGATGATTGATATGATTGATTGACAATGATTGATGTGTTTTCCAAAAAAAATTACATAAGGCATTTTCAGTTGTACTGCAGGTGTAAATAGAAATGGGTATTAAGGGACAGGCAGACTAAATGTATATGAAATATGCAAGCATTCCCATTGAAGAGAGTCAAAGACAAAAACATGGCGGCCATCTTGGTGCGATAAATTTATTCACTAAGCCTAAGGCGAATAATTGTTTTAGTATTCTTAGCACAAGGGAATTTCATAAATAACGAATAGAGAACTTGTGGATCTTTTCACATTTCATTTCTCTCTGCTGCAAGCGACACACATCAACAAACGAGGTGCGCGTGCGCATATGCGCGCGTTATATTCACCTGTAGGTGAATATATAGCAGCATAAGACGTAATTTGTGACCAATGAGCGCGCCGGATTTATTATATTCATTTGTGTAAAAATACTAATGAAAAAAWTTTTTTAAATAACACACCAACATGGCAGTGATGACGTAACGTGCAGTCATATAATTTTGAATGATAGCATAATTAAAACAGATCAGATACTCTGAAATTTTCGCCGAATTAGTTCCCAGATAGACAAAAACATCAAAGAATGCATTATTATATATTACTAGTCATGTCAAAGTACTGGTTGGCTTGCTGGTTAAGTAATAAAATTGTTAATTAGTTCGGAGAGTATGTACTTACGGAGAGAAAATAAGTCAGACAGATAGGTATCTATAAGATAGTTCTGGGTGAACCTCCCATACAAAGAGTAACTTCAAACCATATCATGGCTGGATTTATTAATATACTGCTCCAGTCGACATGGCACAACAAAGCGCACGGGGCACCATTTATCCAAATATTTCGCAAACATTTTTCATATGTTTTTAAAGTCCCTGCATGTCTTTCAAAAATGATTACCTTTTTAATTGAAATCTGTTTTATAAACATCGGGAATAGACCACTCTCTAAGGGAAAGAAAGATTCAACAAATATATATAGTTATTATTATTCGACATTAGTTGCTAGTAATATAAACATATTCTCAAAATCATTCCCAGGAGCCAATATATCGTGCTGAGTGTTCAGTTGGGCAAACCTAGTGACCTTCTTGAAGTCATAATAGGATTTTAGCCTACTCTCCTACTTAATAATAACAACTCTAACTAGTAGCCCTGTTGTTTGTTGGCACTATTGTTAATATATGATATAATACTGATTTATAGATTATTATATAATGTTTCATGAAGGTTTTTGCATACGTGTTCAGTCAAATCATGAATCTTGATGGAACTTGAGTTTAGCATGTATTCAACTCTTGATTCATGAAATGGTCGTATTATTTTTAGTCGATTGTCTTATCAAAGATCTTCCCATCAAATGGGAAAAACTAGGGTTATTTATAATCGTATGCTTGGGCAATTGACAGCGTTTGTTGACAGTCGACGTCTGGCTCTTTTCTTGATATAAGTTTCCCAGCCTATTAACCTAAGCAGCTAGGTCAAAAAAAATTAGATTAAAAAATCAAAAAACAAAAAAAAACACAAACAAACAAACAAAAAGA